CACCGCCGCACCCCCAGCCACGGGGTGTCTGGGGCAGCCGCTCCTGAGCTTCCTGCAGCAGTGAGGTGTGTCCCTGCCTGAACACACGAGGAGGTGCATGGAGGAGGTGCATGGCTGCAGCACCACCAGCCCAGCACCCTGGTCAAAGGGGAAGCCTCCTCCCTGCCATGCTCCAGCATGAGGAGTGTGGCTCAGTAGAGCAGGAGCTCGTAACAGGTAAACAAATGGGCCAAGAGAGCCATCTGGGTAACTAAGAGGCTTTATCACTTAACTTACAAGAAGAAAAAGCCATTTTAATGGGTTATGAAACTACTGATTGTCATACTGCTCTCATGGTTTAACCTAGCAAGCAGCTAAACACCACGGCACCTGTATCTTGGTCCTCAGAGAGAGACAGTCAGGACAAGCTCACAGCCCACCCCAGTGCCAGCTATTCGTGTGCTAGAGTTTCAGCAATCATTACTCCTGAAATTAACCCATGCATTTCCAAACAAACTTGTTAATCATTTGCAATGATTTTGAGCACGTGCTTACAGAGCAGAGATTCTGATTAATAGTTGTTGGCTTGGATTCACAGCATAAGGTTAATCTGAAGGTGTTAAATCACACGTAAGTATGCCCAATAAATAACCAACTGAATTCAGTGGTCTTATTTCCAGCACTCTGCAATTTAAGCTGGAATAGAAATAGGTTGGGAATTTAAATCAAATTTTAAAAAAATAGTAAGAATGGTGAGATCAGAAGACCTCGGTAGGCTTCTTCCAGTTTCAGAAGTCTGCTACCAATCAGCACATAAACTGCAGTAACAGGGCACTTCTGTTTTCAAGATTTCTTCAGCAGCACGCAAGAGGCCTTGTGTCTCTGCTCTGCAGAAAGCAGTTCTCTGCATCGCAGGCCTGCACGGTAAGCCATGATGAAGTTCTCCTGCGCTGTCTACAAAGCCTTCCTTATAGATGAGGGCATTGAGCTCCCACCCGTGCAGCCACGTTTGCGTTTTTCAGCAATGCTCTGCACTGCGGACGCAGCTACGGCAGCTTCAGTGCCTGGACAGACGTTAGGTGATGCCACTGTCATCTGCCACACAGAGCACAGGACATACAGAGTTTTTTATACAGTGTCACTGCATATCCTTCAGTGATTTTAAGCAGAATGGCTGTATGTGGCCAGTACCAGCTAGAATATTTCTAAACATTTCCTCAGATCTAGGATAAATCTAGTGCCCTTTGCTGTTTTAAGAACTATCACTCATCTTAGAATAATTATTTTTTAATATTTTTTGAAGAAAAACCTTGTTGCTCTGTAACACCTAAAATGTTCATCAGTTCAGCTGGTGGTTTAGAGGGCTTTCTCCACTAAGATGGATTAGAAAAGTTGAAGAGCTACAAAATTTAATGTGCATTAAAGAAGAATAATTGTGCCACAGCCAAGAGGCCCAGGCTTCACCAGGTGACTATTTCTCCTCCATCTTTACTTGCCCGTGCAAAGTCAAAGTGGGGTTCATACTGTCCTCCCACTCCATAATTTGCCACCTGAAAAAGAGAAACACAGCGCTTGTGAAGAAGAAAGAGGTGGAGACAGGAAACAGGACTTACCCTTCCAAAATCAAAGTGAGGCTCATACTGGCCTCCTACTCCGTAGTTGGCTACCTACAGTGGAAGGAGAAGCACAAAGTCTAGTGAAACAGTATTTTACCCAGACAAGAAGCTGACCGTCATCTACCACCTTTTGACAGATGATGTTTAAGAGTCAGGCCATGGAGATTACAGCTCTCTGCCACCTGAACTGTACAGTGTGCAGCAAAATCCCACTGGGTTTATTCACAGATGGCTCCGACTTCCCCAGACTCCCTATCAGCATAGAGCCAGAACCACACTCTGAGCTGTGGGGTCTCAGCCCCTCAGTTTGCCTTTGCAGTTCTCAGCTGGACACCAGCTCCCAGCAGAGCCACAGCTGAACCTTCCCTTCCCCCGCAGCAGCTTTCCTTGGAAGCTCTTCTGTCCACCCTCAGCTGAAGGGTGAAGACATTCTGCCATTTCCGAGTGCTACTGCTGTCTGATGTGACGATTCTCAGGTCACAAAACCTGACCATGAAACTTCTGAAACTCCTGGAGAACTGGGCAGCCACAGGCTTCGAGGAGCCCCACGATGTTTGGTTACAAGAGCAGCAGCACATTCAAGACTGGCACCTCAAGATACCATACAGTCCAGGTAAGGAAGCTGCTACTTCCTTGGAAAGGAAACAGCTGGCCTTTGAGGATGAAGGATGGGACAACAAATCTAAACACCCATTCTCTCCCCCTTTCCTCAAGCATCAGTCAAGCTATAAACTTTTCACTATCACCACAGCAGCAAAGTTTGACCCTGCAGCAGTGAAACTCAGTTTTATTAGGGTTTTTTAGTTGTTTTTTTTTT